TAGTTTAGATAATGATCCCTACGTCCAATGTGGATGTATTCATGTTCCTAGGCACCATAACCTCTGGTTTGCACTCGGAGTTAAAAACAGGAGCGAGATAGTTGAGAATGTCTAGGGACTATGAGACCGCATAAGAAAAAGTATAGGACCCCACATGTCAGTCGGACAGGATGAGGCTCTCCGCTAATGTTGCTTCGCCCTCTCCTCCACTGCTGTTGTACGTCATGGGTGAGTGACAGAAAGTTCAGACCCATCCCCCATCAGATCTGCTGACAGGGGAATGGACTTGCCCTAGTGGTTTGCCCACGCCTAGGTTAGTGGAGCAATGCCGCCACAGTAGTAGCCGTCATCTTCCATTACACACAGGACAACCATAGTGCAGGTCGTGGCGTAATCTCCGTTCATGTCTTAGCCTCAAACAATGGTTAACAAGTGGATCCCTCATATTGAGATGTGGCATCTACACCTTGACCCCGTTGACCAACCAGTCAAACCCGTCAGCAGAGCTCCGGATGGTTGAGGCAGTGGCTGGGGAGGAGCTACATGCGATCTAGTGGTTGTGGCCGACCCACGCAAAAATAAAAATACAATGGTGAAAGCTAAAATTTCACTATATTTGCACCTCATATACGTCACAAATCCTAGCGCCCACAAGGCAAGTAAGCACACCCCCTCAAAGTTGCTCTAGCTTCGCTCCTGGGGAATGGAGGTCGACACCACTAGTTGGACGCAGCCGTATTACCAGAGAGACTTTGATATATCATCTGACATCCAATTCGTGGACTTTGATATATCATCTGACATCCAATTCGTGAGCCTTTTTAGGATTTGACATGTGGGTTAAATCTTGAAAGGCTCATGAATTCTCAATTTGTGAATTTTCTCACCGAGTGCATACACCCACGCACATTTTGTTGCGAGCTCCCCCATTCGCCGTACCTAGACTGCGGGTGACCTGATCAGGCTTACGTGGAGAGAGAGATTCGCTCATAAGCGTGCGCCTCTGCTCGCTTCCAATTAAAGACGACAATGTCTTGGTTTCCTGATTCCTTATTATTCTAAGTTTCTAACCCTGCGCATACAGTTGTCACTGTTCAGTGATTATTCCATCCCAATCGCTGTCACGTGGATCCAGGAGAGGCCATACGCAGCCAGCTAGTTTGGTGATGGGGTGTACAAGCGAGCTAGCGCACACAACACTGACTGCACGTGGATGAATAATATGGATGCCTGATGTTTAAAAGAATCTAGTTCTCCCATCTCAAGTTCATCTGATCCGGTCAACCGTGCATGCATTCGTGCCATGCTCTCTCCTGACCTTACTTTCCTTTTACTGTAGCATCTTAATCTTTATCTAAATTATCCGGACCCCCTTTATTTGACGCGTGCGTGTTAGTTCAGATACGACGCGTAGGTTGTCTTTCTCGCATCTTTTTTCTCATCTAGTCATCTTCCCCAACTTTCCCTTCCCCCACCGGCCTCGGCCCCCCCCCTAGATTGCCAGCAACCTCACCACCCACCTCCTCGTCGCAACCTCACTCTTCACTGACGTTGTGTTTGGTTGCCCCCACCGCATACCCTGCCCACCGGTTGTCCTCCATCGCCCGACCGTCGGCGTCCGCTGCCGCCGTGCCTCACAGCTCTCGAACCACCGCCGCCCCCTAGCCATCCCTCTAGGGCCAGAGGAGATTGGAGATTTCTTCAGAACTCAAACCCTAACCCTAAGCCTATTTGCCCCACTGCTGGCGGCCGGTGGTGCCACTCTGCCCGCCTCCCACCCGCCCTGCACGCCTGCCACCCTCCCCTAACTGAGAGCCTTCATTTTCACGAAGACGACGTCGTATGTTGGCACTGTTGCTAAAACGCATGTGTGTAGAATAGTGATCGGGGAATTACCCCGGCATTATAAAAAGTAATGTAAGTACATTATTACATAAAAATATTTTTACAGCAATATTTTCACCAATGGTTCATTAAAATTTATTTATGATAATATATCACCACCGATTTCTGATGAAACTATTGGTGAAAATGATTCTCACCGTCGGTTCGTATCACGATCTGTTTGTGAAAATCAAGGAGGTTTTCACCAACGGTTCATAGGTTTACATCGGTCCCTATACTCTTCTTTATGTTAGATCACGAGAAGACATGTCTCTCCTTACCATTTCCTCCTCCTCCTCTTCCTCCTCTCTCTCTCCTCCCTTTATCCTAGAGCTCTGTCGGTGTTTCGAGTTACCAATTAGTAAATTTCTAGTATTGCGCGTCTGAGTCGGATGGTGTGCTTAGAGGACACGAGGTTTATACTGGTTCGGGCAGAAAGTCCCTACGTCTAGTTCGTCGCTGCTGCTCGTGTTACTAGCACTGAGGCGGCCCCCCCGACCTAGAGGTCGGGCGAGGCGGAGCCCGCCCCTAGAGGTCGGGCGAGGTGGAGCCCGCGCACCTAGGGGTCGGTTGGAGCTGTAGTCGCGCACTTGACTGCTCGGATGAATCAATGTTGATGACCATTAGCTCCTCCTCTTCAGGTACTCTAGTATTGGTCTCCGACAAGCTCCTTCCCCCCTCTCCCCCTTCGTTCCCTCCCTCTGTCTCTCCGGACATGGCGGCTCGAACGGGGGTGTACCAGAGTGCAAGGGCACGTGGCTTGAGCAATAGCGAGCACGAGCAGGCCACAAGCGTTGATGGGCGTGACATATGGTGACCCATGTACTTTTAAAAACTTTTTAATAAATTTTCATTGCTGGTTTTTGACATCAGCGATGATAAGCTGATCATCCTCACTTCCACCACCGAAGTGCGAAAACCGACAGTGATGGGGTTTATGAGAGTAACACCTAAATTCACATCTAAATTGCTCAACACCGTTTACTATTAAAAATAATCTAAGGTCACCCACACCTAAGCTGCTATGAAAAAAATATCCAAAGTAACCATTTGTATTTGCATGTAAATTATCCATTCCATAAGTATCACAAATAATCTAAAATAACCAAACTACATGTAAACTACCTACATTTCTCATGATAAAATATTTCCCAATGTATTTTTAATGTATGCTTCTAAATTGTCCACGTTTGCAGTTGGCCCATTGTTAAGATATAGGAAAAGTAACTCAAAGGTAATGCGTGATCCGTGTCACTAGTCACACGATCTATACATGTATGCATTAAACAATGATCATCGACTTCCATGTTTAAGGCATTGCTAAAAGCTAAGGTTTTATCAATGATTTAAAAATAGCTACAATGCACATGGGTTGCCATACAAAGAGGAAACTATTATGAATCTAAATGAACAAGTATATCTATATAAGTTTAAGATAAACATTTTATATTAGCGGTAGTTTGGCACGAGTATTGGTCCTTCATGTATGAAAGAGGTGAGTCTCTAAGTTGTGCTTATACAGATAGAGTTTTTGTGTATGCATTTATAGAAACGAGTGTTTGTTCATATTTATGGCGGTATATGTGTCTATTACAATATAATTCTTGAAAAAAAGAACCACCGGCCAAAACTAGGTGGATTGTCGGATGCCTAATTTTTTATTCTTATTTTTATTCTTATTCTTAGTATAGGCAGTGTACAAAAATAACCTCGAAGACACAGAGAATGCAGTAGGGGATCATCCAGCGTTGCAGTTCCAGCCCGTGCGAAGTGGCCCGGCAGCCATCGTGCCTCTCAGATGGGCCCGGATTGTCGCTCGCCCACAGCGTTACTGGGCTGAGCTCATTCCGCCACATGTTTTGGGCTTCTTTAATTTGCATGGGGGCATGGGCTCTTAAATCTATTCTGAGCTTCTGTTCCCTCAACACAAAACTTGCTCAAGCTAAAAATAAAATTTTGCCCCAAAATCAAAAAAGAAAAGCAAAAAGTATGTGCTCCAGCCTCTACAGCAGACCAAATGTCACCAAGCCGTCCATATCTCACCCTTGCCTCAAGAAGTGCCGTTCTTTGCAATTCCTAATATAATCATGATGCATCGACCTACAGTGAGTTCAAACACAGTGCTAATTAAATAAATCCAAAATTTAGATATACATATACTGCAGCGGTTCAACTTGAGGTTGGGAAAAGAATAATTTCTGATCAGCTGAGAATCCATATTACAATACATTTTGTTAGCAATATTATAAAATCTTTTCATATCAAAAGCAGAGTATTATCAAAGTGTATATGTATTAATGAATCTAATAAATGCAAATCCAGTGTTGCCAAACTACAAAAGTTTTAGATATTTGTAGTCAAAGGTAAAATAATTTCACTTATATATATGATAAATTTAAATGGGTTCATATTAATGATTGGAGGAAGTAGTAGGGACATAGACATAATATATATGGCTGTGTTTGATTAGCGCTAAATATACTACTTCAAACTGAAAGGCTTTATGTACGGTCCACCGGAGACCAGCAGAAAAAAGGGCTTTTGCAATAAATATTAGACTAAATGGCAAGACCTCATATCAGGCCACATTAAGTACCCACTATATTTTACTTATCATGCATGACAGTAGCTTGTTTTCGTTGCTAAATTAAAGAGCAATATCTATCTACAGAGACCATCATAATTTTTACAGTTACCTTAAGTGGACCCCACTTTGACCAGGTGACACGAGGTTAGTGTTCCTGCAACTCATTTTCTTCTTCTTCTATATATAGGATGCCTCTGGAGCTCCTTGTCATGTCATCCAAACACAACCATCATGAGGATGCCTAGGCGTCCAAGGAGATCCGGCATCAGGTATATCGAGAACAACAGCAGCCGAAGCATCTCATTTTCCAAGCGGCGTGATGGGCTCTTCAAGATGGCCGCTAACCTGTCCACCCTCACCGGCGCAAGAATCGCCATTGTACTGGAGGCTGAAAACGGGAAAATGTCCGGTTTCAGCGCTCCATCGTTCGGCCCCATCATGGATTCTTTCCTTTCAGGGAGGAGGGTGGTGCCCCGGAGGGTCCTGACGAGCAAGAAAAGGACATGATCGCCAAGCTGCAAAAGAGATAATGCAGCTAGAGGAGAGCAAGGTCATGCGGGAGCAGAGAGCCGTGGAGTCTCTGGCACGCGTCAAGGCGATTCAGGAGAGGTCGAGGATGGGTAAGCTTATCTATAGCAAGGTGGATGATGTTTGTGTTGATGAGCTCAATGAGCTGCTCCGTGGGCTTGCACGGATCGGTCAGGAAATTCGAGCCCTACTTGATCCTCCTCCTTGGGTTGAGATCGGCGGATCGTCGAGAGGTCCACCGCCTTTGCGGCTGTTCTCTCCGCCGCATTCTCAGGTACAAGAGCCACCACGACGTTTGCCATGGGTTTCCTCACAATCACAACCATCCTTGTCGTCTTTAAGATCATCGTGCACTCTTCCGCAGTCGATAAGGCCACAGGTCTCTGTTATGAGTCCACCTGTGCAGCCATCGTCTCTACAAGCCATATCGAGGATGCTGCTTCGACACACTCAGTTGTCACGACGCCCAGCTTCCTTGATGGTGCGACCACAAGCACCTGTGATGATGCCCCTACCTAATGAAGCCCACCAGTACAACTATCAGAGCCTAGGGGTGGACATCACTGGTAACACCTCCGGACATTTCTCGCAAACTTCTATGCTATCTTCACTACCACCACCACCACCACCACTGCCCACATCAGCACTACAAATTCCTTCACAACGACCTGTAGAAGTTGAGATTCCTTTCGAAGCACTAAATTTTAATCCAGATGTGCAGTCAGAGAACCATGCAAATCCTCACTCAATCTTAGAAAATAATGACGAAGTTTCACATTTCTTTGGCGGCATTGGTGGGACCACACCCACTCACTCGTTTACAGGCAACGAGCAACCTTCACTTATTCCTTGTGGTGCTAGTGGAGGCCACCATGCTCCTGGTTGTCACAACGTTCCCTGTCCTTCTGGCTCGAATGGAGAAACTTATGAGTGGCTCAAGACCTTATTAGAGTCTTCTTCCGAAGGAGGAAGTTCTAGTGATGATGATGGTGCTGGAGATAGTCTTGGTAATATGGATTGGTTTGGTGATGATAATTGATGCAGGAGTTTTAATTGTTCTGTGTTTCAAAGTAGTCTGAGTTATCTAGATGATGATGTCATTAGGGAAATAAATGTACTGGTTTACACCATAAGCCTAATTAAGGCTAGCATATTTATTGCTGTCATTAGGGAATTAAAGAAGTTTTATGTGTATGGGTATGTTGGGGGTCCAACTCCTTATAAGTTTGGCTATTGCATATCCATGGAATATTTTTTTATATTGTATTATAAATGTAATAGTTTTATAACACCAAGGAAATACGTTTTATGTGTTGGAAAGCATAAAATGGTAAATAGTTAAATAGGAGCCTTAATGAGTGGCAGAAAAGAGTTTCTATCCATCGCTCAGATGGACAATCAGAGACCATAGATTTGTAGATTTTGTTGAATGTTTTCGGTTTGACTGCTCATACACGTTGTTTGGAGTTTGGATCACGAAGTTAAGGTTGCTACAAGTCTTGGTGAAGAAAAGGGTGAGCTAACACGCGAACAGTACACGTGCATGAAAAGTAAGTCCAGTTCTCTTTCCATTTCCCCCCTTGCCATGCCTTTTCTTTTTCCCCAATCCCGCACGACCTGCCCAATCAACAGCCGTGAGAGAAGGAAAGAGGAGGGGAGGGCCTAGGGTGCCGCCATTGTCATCGCCACCGTCCGTGGTGCCTGTTCTTCCTCCTGCAAATCCGGTAGTTAAGTTGTAGTTGTAGGAGTATAAAGGAGTAGTAGTAGTTGTTGTAGGAGTAGTTGTAGGCAGCCCAAAGGGCCAAGTCCTTCGGCCATTTCAAATCGACCCCAAAGAGCTGCCCGAAGCATAGAAGAGTAGCCAGAAAAGAGCAGCATTATATAAGCTAAAGTTGTATAGCACTAGAGAAGCCATGTGCTCAAATTCAAAATTGGAGATAAGAGCAATAGGAGTAGGAGTATGGAGTAGGAGAGAGTATATATAGCAGCCAACACAGGCAGCAGTTCATCAAATTTTCATCAAATTTGCATCCCAGGCAGCCATAGAAGAGAGAATACAGTACACAAGTAGCATATATTTCATCAAATTCATCCCAATTTACCTCAAATTCATCACAAATTTATCCCAATAGATCTCAAATTGATCCCAATTTAGTCAAATTCATCTCAAAGTGGAAATCTCTCAATAAATTATTCAGACAGCAAAGTGCTCAGTTGAATATGAAATTGGCATCATAGGCAGTGGCATTGCTATAGTTAAAAAAATTTGCATCACAGGCAACAATTCATCAAATTGGACGAAATTTTTTTGCATCACAAGCATTGCTCAATTTGCATCACAGGCATCACACAGTAACAAGAACATCACAGGAAGTGTACCGGGGACGATGGAGCCGGGGGAGAAGTCGGGGAAGAAGGAGCCAGTGGAAATGCTTGGCGCGGAGGATGGAGCACACGCCAGCAGTGGATGGCGGCGGCGCTAGGGTTCGGCGGCGGAGGCAGACTCTAGGGAAGACGCGCGGAGCGGGGGGCGGATCTCCTTAGCGCAGGACAAAGACGGGGCACGCAGGCGGATCTCCTTGACGTGGGGGCTCATGGCCATGGCACCCATGTCGGCAACGAACCGAGATGAAGACGACATGGTGGATCTAGGGTTCGCGGCACCCGACGGATGGCACGGTGGAGCTCTCGGGCAACTGCTGCAGCGCAGCTCCGGCTCTCGATGGCGAGGCCGAAATGTGAACGCGTCTTGAGGTTGGGGCGCGAAGGAGGAGGTCGGCGACGATGATGGCGAAAAAATTGGGCAGCCCTTCGGGGTCGATTTGAAACGGCCTAAGGACTTAGAAAAATTTGGGGGAGAGGTGGGTTATATATAGGCAGCCATTAACCGAGGCGGGCGACTTAGGGTGCCCGCCTCGGTTAAGATTTTGCACTTTTTTACATTTCATGAAATGCCTCGGTTATTTTCGTTTTACAACATTTTAAAATAGAAATTTATTTTGTAATGCTTTTTAAAATTCATAGGAGTAGTAATGTAGGAGTAATAGAGTAGTGGTAGTAGTGTAGAAGTGTAGGAGTAGTGTAGGAAGTGGTAGTAGTGTAGGAGTAGTAGTAGAGTTGTAGGAGTAGTAGGAGTAGTAGTAGAGTAGTAGTGTTGTTGGAGTACTAGGAGTAGTAGTAGAGTTGTATGAGTAGTAGTAGTAGTGTTGTAGGAGTAGTAGTAGAGTTGTTGTAGGAGTAGTAGGAGTAGTAGAGTAGGACTTGTTAATGAAATACTTGTTTCATTCCTTTCAACCAATATCAAATTATTTTTAAAAATCAAACACTTAACACGTACAGATTACGATATCCCACGGTCATATATATATATGGTTCCATTACAATAATAATCAGTTACATAAAAGTTCTCATTAATCAATAAGTGACTACATTATTACATATATGTGTGGCATACATATAATTTTGCTGCAAGTGCTCCCACGACAGTCTTCTTCTCACCGTCAAGGCGTAACTGTAATCATCTTGGTCTTGTTGAAGTGGGTCTCAACCAACTTGATATTATGTGGATGATCGGTAAAGAGCGAGAGCGCTGCGTAGTTGTTGTATTCTTTCGGGCTCTGGACTCCATTAGCTCTCACAATCCTCAGCTTTCCTGACACAACCACGTGCCTTTTGCTTTCCTCGGGCAACCCATAGTAGGCTACTTGCGCACAGCGGCTTGCTAGTACCCACTGATCATCTTTATAGCCGACACTTTGGAGCTCCACGGTGGTTAGCCCATAGTCATCCACGATAATCCCCTTTGGTTTGACCCACTGGCACCGGAAGACAGGTAACTATAGGTCAGCCACAGTCAAGTTCCCATATCTCTTCAATCTGCACAAAGTATGTCCTGGTCTGCCCTATTGACTCATTGATGCCCTCATATCGAACACCATTGTTCTATGCCACGCTCTTCTTGTCCTTCTCCTTTGTGTGGAACCTATATCCATTGATGTCATACCCTTGCCATGTGGTGATTTGAGTGGATGGGCCAGATGCAAGCCTCGCTTCATTGGACTCTCCACGGGGCATGTCCTGTAGCTCTTTGATCCACACCGTGAAACTGAACTTGTGTTGTTTCTGGACCCATGCCTCCGTGCGCTATCTGTCATGAGCGGCGCGGATCTCCTCCAGGTGCTTGTCAACATATGGTTCCATAACCACTAGCTGATTGAGGACGCAGTGATGAGCTTCTTGCACCATTTCGTGCTGTACATCGGTGCGTACTTTCCTCCCCGTGCAACCCATTCCCGAGGTTCTACCTTCGTGTTGAGGGACGGGCAGGCCAATCGCCCTTCCATCCCGGATGTACTTGGTGCAGCAGTTAATGGCCTCCTTGGTTGTGTATGTCTCGATCATAGAGCCCTTCGGGTAGGCACGTTTAAGGACATATCTATTCAGGGTCGACATGAACCGCTCGTACATTCACATTTGGTGCAGGTACATGGGGCCTAGTTCCTGTATCTGATCAACCATGTGCATCATCAGGTATGACATAATATCGAAGAAAAATGGTGGGAAGCACATCTCGAGCTAGCAAAGAGTCTCTGCGATGAACTGTTTTAGGCCAGGCAACTCAGCTTCATCGATGACCTTCTGTGTGATGTAGTTGAAGAAGTAGGACGTGCGTGTAATGACCATCTTCACATACTCTGGACCGATAGCCCTGATCACAATGGGAAGGAACACCGTGAGCATGACGTGGCAGTCATGTGCGTTGAAGCTGGTTAGTGTGAGGTCCTTCATCGAGACCAGGATCTTGATGTTGTACGAGAAACCGGTCGGCACCTTGACACACTTAAGCCACTGGCACACGGTCCTCTTCTCATCTCTCATTAGGTTGTAGCTCACGCCCGGAAGGTCGACTTTCCCGCTCTGCGTCGTTGGTGTCCGGGTGAATTTTGGTCCTGATGTCCTAGTTGACAAGATCCATCCATGACTTCAGACCATCCTTCGTATTAGTCTTGATGTCTAGCAGTACGCCAGTGGTGCTTTCGAAGACATTCTTCTCGAGGTGCATGTAGTTGATGGCATGGGGCGTATCTAGCTCCTTCTAGTATGATAGGTACATGAAGAAACATGACTGCTTCTTGAAAGGAATGAGGGCGATAGGTGTTTCCTCCATCTTATCCCGCTTCCTCTTCTTCCTTATCGTGGTTCCATCTTCCTCTTTCTTCTTGTTCCCAAACTCAACGTCTATGCCCTTCACCATATCATACACCTTTTGCCCGTACCTTGTCCTTTTCGGCTCGTCAGTTTTAGGCTCTTCCTTGTTGTCAAAGTACTTATTCATTGTAGCTGCCCGGTACTTGTGCTTTTTGACAAGGAATCGCCTATGCCTCATGTACACCATCTTCTTGGATGCACTAAGGTAAGTGTAGCAGGTATCGTCAATGCAAACTATGCAACTTGACTTACCTTTGATCTGCCCCGACAGTGAAAAAAACTAGGGTAATCGGTGATGGTGACTGTTAGTATTTATTATCTTGTCACTCTTTAAATAGCCATCTAATGTTGTTGACATTTCTTAGCATCACTTTTACTAAGTTGTCATCCCTAGCAATGATGCCAGAAATGCTTGTTGGTACTACATAGAATCACTACTAGAATGATACTAAGAAGTATTTCTAATATTTTATGTGATTAGAAAGAACATAAATATGAATATGAAGGGATCTCCAAGCGCACAGATAATATACCATTGTAGCACTTCACCTGGGAGTATTCTAGGTATTGTTATTTATATTTTTACCACAGGGAAGGACGGGCAGTTGGAATATATTGATAAATTGTACATATCATGGAGAAATAAACTATAACCAAATTTGTACTCATAACAGGGGTAAGTCAAGAGATAAATATGATAAGTAATGATAAATGACCACTCAGAGTACTCCTTTGTATGGCATTAGCATGGCTAGGTAGATTATTAGAGGAATAATTCCTAAGTCATTCTTAATTACAAGTCAAAGCATATGTTGATTAGTGCAATTATAC